CCTGGCTGCCAGAAGGATGTCTGACTGCAAGCTTAGGCCTGATCCCTGGGGAGTGGGCCTAAGTCAACAGGTGGACATCCCCCAAGGGTCCTGGACTGTGAATGGGCGCAGGCTGGGCTGAGGGGAACCCCCCCCCCCCCGCCGGCGCCCGAGGGCACAAATTTTTGTGCACCGGGCCTTTAGTCTAGAATAATAAAAGGGTAATATGCTAATTAGACCGGACGAATTCCAGACATCATTCTGGACGTCCTTCCTGAGGAAGCTGGGGCCGGAGGGAAGCCAGTGCCAGCAGCCGGGGGAAGGAAGGCCTACTCTTACATGAATTTTCATGTATCGGGCCTCTAGTATATATATGAATCAGTATGTTTGATGTTGATAAACTTGATTCAATTGCCAAAAGCAACCTAATTATTTAAACCCCAAAGCTGGGGCCTCATGATGGGGGGAGGGGAGCAAGCCCAGCCCAACCCCCACCTCATGCCCAGCCCCCAAGGACTTCCTCAGTGTTAAGGTCACTGAAGGAGGAACGCAAGAGGCTGAAAGGGGTAAAGAATTATGGATTTACTAGAGGCCCGGTGCATGGGTGGGGTCCAACTGGTGGGCCCTCCCGATCGGGGCCGATAGGGCCGGGCTGGCCTGGGGGAAGGGGATGTAGGAGGTTGACTGGTCGGCCCCGCCCCCTGGTCAAACTCCCTGTCGAACTCCCGGTCGAGGGGAACAATTTGCATATTAGCATTTTATTATATAGGATTAGGTCATCTAGAGACCAGATGGGCTGAGCCCCCAAAAGGCATCAGCACCCGGGAGTAGGGAGGCAGAGGTTGTCAGGGACTCCAGGCGGGCTTATTCGGCCAAGAACTCTCTGGGTGGGTCTGGATCCTGGGAAAGTCAGGAGAGGAAAGATAAAGGTCTGAGCAGTGGAATGTAGTCTAAGCGAAAGGGAGTGTGGGTGGTGACGTGGTCTTCAGGGCAGTTCCCAGGGGAGGGGCAGTGTGGGAGGGCTTTTAGGGGTCCATTGAGAGCTCCCCTCCCATTAAGTAGACAGGAAGACTGAGGCCCAGAGAAGGTAAGTTTTTCCGGTGCCTCCTGAATCAATCCAAGGAGTCCTTTATTGTCTGTTGTCTCACTGGGCTGCACCTAGATACACAAGCCCTTTCAGAATCTGGACTGGGGATAAGCGTGTCACAGGGCCATGATGATAGCAGACTAACGCTGGGAACCAGCTGCCTTCATCCAGTGGAGAAGGACACGTGTCCCTTTTCAGAGTCATGGTTGGGAGAGAAAGGGCAGGAACTGGGAGAGCAGACACAGAGGAGATCTGGGTGCTCCATGCCACCCCTCCCCTGGCTCCCACTCCCTGCTGTTTCCGGGGCAACTGCCCACAGCCACCTTCTACTTGGAGCCATTGCTGGCCACTGAGCACTTCTCCTCAGCACCTGGAGCAGATCCTGGCTCACAGCGAATATTTATTGAGGACCTACTATGTGTCAGGCACCGGTGCTGGGCGCTAGGCTTGCACTCAGGGCAGAGGAGGCAGAATCCCGCGCTTAACAACACTTGTAATCTGGTGCATTGTCCCAATTAGTCTTGGACATTTCAGCAACCTGTACCAACATGAAGGACAGTTTGACCTAAGAAGGTGGAATTACAGACTTAAAATATTTCTGCCTAACTTTGAAATGATGTAATGAAACTATGCTACTGAGTGGCCTTGTAAAGACATTCATAATGAACTGATAGAGATGATTGGTGGATCGGAGCAGTTTAGTCCCTGTTTATATTTCACTGATTTGGCTTATATGTAAATGATACGGCTAATCTGTTTGGAAATGGTTCCTTCTCCTGAGTCAGTATCCACTCGTAGTGAAATTTGTTTGCACAATTAATTAACATCCTTGTTTAAGGTTCATGTATTAGTGTGTCACAGCTTAATGTCAGAGCTCTTTGTCTTGGGTGATGAGCTTCTAGAGCAATTCCCATGATCTGTTGACTCACTATGTCTATGACTCTAGCCATACCATGGGTGCATACATGCTTTTATTTTTAAAAAATTTATTTTTCAACAATAGCTGACATACAGTATTATATTATTTATTATTCTCAGGTGTACAGCATAGTGATTAGACATTTATATACCTTACAAAGTGAACATTACTCAGCCCTAAAAAAACAATGAACTCTTACTATTCGTGACAACATGGATGGACCTAGAGGGTATTATGCTAAGTGAAATAAGTCAGGCAGAGAAAGACAAATGCCATATGATTTCGCTTACACGTGGAATCTTTAAAAAACCAACATACATGAACAAACAAACTCATGGACGCTTTTAAAGGTAAGAATGGTAATGTGAAATTGCATTGGTGATGACAGTCCACCTGGGTGTTGGCTAATTCTCTTCCCAGAAGAATATCGGGAGGGAAATAATGTCTTCATAATAATCCCTTCATAATCTCTAGGAATGCCTTCCCCCAACCCCCAACATGTGTTTGGGATAAAAGAAAACTCTTGGAGATGAGTACCAGCAGCAAGAGGATGGACTGTGGAATTTGGAAAGTTCATTAAAAATGGGATGGAGCAAATGTGAAGGGGAATGATGGGAAATTAAGCTGGGGACAGATTGAGGGGGGTTTGCCATACCTGACTCATTCAGTGAGTATCCACAGCCATACTGTGTTCCAGGTACTGCAGTAGGTGTCGCCGCAGGGGACAGTACCTAGGGGCTGAGTGGCTACTCAGGCCACATCCCTGCGAAGGGAGAGGAAGGAAGGCGTATCCTGAGCTCCATGAACTCTAGGTCCCCATGAAATGTTTGCCTGGCGTCAGCCCCAGCCACCACTCCTGGGCTACAAGTGATGTTTCCTTCTCCTCGGGTCCTCTCTCAGCCTCGTCGGGGCAGCAGAAGGGGGTGTGGCATCCGCTGTGGATCCCCGTCACTGCCCATGCCCATGCCCATCCGCCTGGGCATTCCTGAGCGGCTTCACTGAGCTCCTCCGTGGACGGTGTGGCCCAGGGCAGGGCATCTGGTGGAATCCTCCGGCCTGTAGTTGAGAAGCAGACTTGCTTGTCTGGCCAGATTATGCCTCTTATGCATTAAAGGCTGGAGCCATTCGTCTCTGTTCTTCTCAGTCCTGGAGTCAAAGTCATACCTGTCTCTTATTTGGCACTGTTTTCAAACCCAGTAGCAGCATATTTGACCTCAATTAAATCATATGAACATATATTCATTCTCTCTCTCTCTCTCTCTCTCTCTCTCTCTCTCTCTCACACACACACACACACACACACACATACACACACACACTCACACTCACTACTTGGCTCATGTCACCAGGTCCTGTATTGTCTATAATTAGTCTATTTCTAAACTTTCTCTTGTTTGGTGTGTAAACTAATAGCATAGGGCAGTGGTTCTCAACCTTCTGGCCCTTTAAATATAGTTCCTCATGTTGTGACCCAACCATAAAATTATTTTCGTTGCTGCTTCATCACTGTAATGTTGCTACTATTATGAATTGTCATGTAAATATCTGATATGCACTTAGGCGACCCCTGTGAAAGGATCGTTCGGCCGCCAAAGGGGTCTCGACCCACAGGTTGAGAACCGCTGGCCTAGGGAAAAAGGCGCCTAAAAGCACCACTCCCTTTGCAGAGTTACGACCATTTTTTAGGGTAGAAGTCCTTCAGTTACCGAGCCCTTAGCAAACACCGCATAGGAAAGGAAGCCAAGAGTCTTGT